TAGCATACCAAAGGCGTTACTCATTCGTTAGATGTTATATACATGTACATGTAATTAACTTTTTCGGGAGACACCGTTAGTTTTGGCCAGATCTGACCTATGACGTCAAAATGACGTCGCGATGTAAACAAAGGTTACGACTGGGTCATTGTTTTTTTTTAAACACGATTTAATTATTAATATTTTAAATACATGCGACTAATTTATTGTGTCAATATATTTATAAAGGATTTTTGTATTTTAATAATTTTCTATTAGCAATTTTTGCAATTATTTTTTTAGCGCCAACGAAAACAAAGAAATACTGGCGTAATACGTTGCAATGGTGCCAAAGGTTATATTTATAAATAGGAATATACAAAAAAATAATAATAAAATTATTAATATTATATATATTTATAATAATAAAATTATTAATAAATTACATTAACCTAACCTAACCTAACCTGAACCTAAACCTAACCTAACCTAACCTAAGCGAACCTAACCTAACCTAAACTGAACTTAAACTAACCTAAATTAACAACGAAATTTTTATATTAGTTAATAATTAATTTTATAATAATTTTAAATATCGGACACCATTGCTCTCAAGGTGCATTCACAACATACACGTGTTTACAATTGCGCTAAATATTAAAAAAAAAAAATCGATTTAAAATTAGCAGGCCATTTAGAAAAAATGTATTTATACATTGAAACAATAAATTAATCGCAGGTATTTAGAATATTAATAATTAAATCGTGTTTAAAAAAAAAACAATGACCCAGTCGTAACCTTTGTTTACATCGCGACGTCATTTTGACGTCATAGGTCAGATCTGGCCAAAACTAACGGTGTCTCCCACTTTTTCTAAATAATTTGCTAAAACAAAAAAAAAAAATTTTTATTGGAAAATGGTATTTAAACATTGTTGAGTAAATAGCGTATGAACAAACATTAAAAAAAAAAACTTATAATAATTAAAAGTGAATACGTGAGAGCATCGGTATTTCAAAAAACTAAATAAACATAATTTAAAAAATAGCATTACTTACAATTTGTGAAAGCGTGAAAGAAAGTAGAGCTACAAAATGGCAACGCCTTTACAAAGGAAACAAGCTATTTCGCTAAAGTTGGCAAATCAAACAGTCTTTATTTAGGGTAATGTTTTCTTCAATTTCCTTAAAGGGTAAGTTCCTTCATAAAAAAAAAATAATTCATAGAAGTTTTTTTTTCATTCTGTTGTATTTATTTTAAAATTGTATGTAAAATAAAAAAGTATTTTGAAATTTTATATCTTTAAATAGGTAGTGTTTTTCAATATTTTTAATTTAAAATATAAAGTTTTCTAAAAAAATTGGAGTAAATTAAATTCAGGGTAGATGAAAAGTATTATCCTAAAATTATAAAAATATAAAATTTTATTTTAAAAATTGTATCTAAAATCCGTCATTAAGGAAATAAATGAACTTATCGAAGTGAGCTGTTTTGGCCTTAATGCAGGCCTGCAAGCGTTTGGTGATAAACTTCACCATGGGTCGCTAGCAGTTGATGTCGATCTTGGCCCAACCTATCTCTTGAACTTATACAAAGAGCCAAACTTTCGTGGGAATCAAAATAAATATTTATTCTGAAAACCACTAGACAGAGTAATTTATCAGGGTCAATTCTAGGGAATATGAGTGATCTAAAGAAGTGCAATATACAGGTACAATCACAATATTTCTATAGGACTCCCCTGTTTATTTTATTTATTTATTTATTTATTTATTGTTACAAAAGCACGAAGTCCAAAGGACTATTGTGCTGTGCTAGTATTATTTATATATATATGATTAATTATTTACACGATGGATTAGTATTGTTTTGTAAATTATTGTACAAATAGTTCTAAACTTAACAAAGTTCTCATAAGATAGAGTATATACACAAAGAGAATTTGGTAATGTTTCAAAGTATCTACATACAATTTGATTAGTCAGAGGGCAAGTTAAAAGAAGATGCTCTGGTGATTCAACATCTAAGCGGCATTCACATGTTGGATCGTTGATAGCATTCAGTTTGAATAGGAAACTTAAGAAGGGTCCTTTGCCAGTTAAGAATAAAGTAGTGAATTTATCAGAAGAAATGAAATTTGCGAACTAAGGTAAAAGAAGCTTGTGTGGGTATTGAATTTGTTGAGATAAGTCAGCAACAATTAGAGTGCCAGTTTGTTTATAAACTAACTAGCCGAATGAACCGGGCAATGGGTCCGATCAAATTTTTCATTCAAATACTATTCTTTATTACAATTATAAATTGGAGCCGTGGATGTCACTCTTGTGCAACGTCCCGCTCCAAACTTTACATGTACATTAGGTCAGCTGGTATTACCCCCATTTTCACCGCTAGAGGCGCGAGCGAAAGAGCAAATTTGCAAATAACTCGACGGATATTCGGGATAGAGACCTGAAATTTTCACTAAGAGTTTTTCCAGATTCTACTTTATATACTATTAAAATTTCAGCCAGATTAGTTATGTATTGTGGACGTGCATAGTTGACAAACATACATACATACATACGCTGACTTTTATATATATAGGGATCTTTATATTAATAAAATGCAAATTTAATAAGTGTACATCACTAAAAACTTTCGTTACAATGCATCAATTTCAACCAAATTTTCAACATTTATGTAAAACGAGATGGAGCAGGTTTTGCTTAACATCAAAATATTTTTCCCTAACATTAACATGCGTAACTTCGCGGTTATCGATTAAATACAAAAAAAAATCAACATAGTTAATTTTATTTATATATAAATACAAAATTAAATTTCAACAGAGTTAATTTTTTTACATACTAGCTAATAATCTCAATCTAAAAATATATTCAAAACAAGCAATTTTAAGATAACACCATATGTAAAACAGTCGGCCAAGAAAACAAATAACGTGTAATCTATATATATATATAAAAATGAATGTCTGTGTGTCTGTCTGTGTGTGTGTGTGTCCTCTATGGATTCAAAACCAATACATCCAATCGCCGTGAAATTTTGGGATATTATTAGGTATATCCCGGAAAGGTTTACGAAAAATAATTTCTATAATATCTTGAATATCCTTAGAGTTATTTGCAGATTTGTAGCTTTAACTCGCAAGCAGCGCCACCATTGAGACCGAGATAGGCTTTTTCAAGAGGGGGAGTAATGTTAGGAGAGAGGAGCGCGTCTCGAGGCGGGTGCTCACGTGTCACTGTTAAAAACCCATTTGTTTTGGCTACATCTTTTCCCGTGGACTTAACGATAACTTTTCTAAAACTTATTTCAAATTTCATGTATAATTATTTTTACATCATTTAGTTTAGTATAATTATTTACTATAATTTCCTATCGTTCAATTATTATACTTTTTGTTCTTAAAGATTATTTAAGACAATAATCTTTAATTAGAAAGTGCTTTGCCAAAAGTTCGGAGTGGGGCAGACCCCGTGCGAGAATGGATTCGCCCGGCCGCCGGCCGACAGTCAAAGTACCCACCGACCAATCAGGGCAGAGTTGGTGACACAGCTATGCCAAGTAGACAAGAAAAAAAGCCTCGCGGGAGCTTGCCCAAGATGACCTCCGGGAACTTCGTCCATCTTCCATAAACGACCATGAATTTATTCAACCTTATCGAGTATTTTTCAAGGGACTGGGAAAAAATGTTCACTAGATAAAACGATGATTTTGTAATGTAGAAAATTAGGAAAGACAAAATTCAGAATGACACGACACACAGGGACCGGGAAAAAATGATCACTTTATCAGTTTCAAATTATCAAAATATATCTATTTCTTTTTATAAGTCTATAGAGAATTGTTTTAACAAATGTTCGTTAGACAGACCTTTACTCGGGTACCGATTAATATTGAATTTATTCAACTTATCGAGTATTTTTCAAGGGACCGGGAAAAAATGTTCACTTTATCGAGAGATTCGTTAGACAAACCTTTACTCGGGTAAAACCTCGGGCGAAGCCGGGTACGTCCGCTAGTATATATATAATCTATATATATAAAAATGAATGTATGTGTGTCTGTTTGTTTGTCCTTTATGCCTGACCAAACCACTCATTGGATCGCCATGAAACTTTGGGAAGTTATTTAGTATAGTACTGGGAAGGTTTCTAGCAAATAAAATTTTTGAAATAACTTTTCGTCTAGAAATAATCAAGATAAATATTCTAATTTATCTGTTATAATTCAACAATCTGCTCTAAATATTATCATGATGATACGATGATTTTGTAATGTAGAAAATTAGGAAAGACAAAATTCAGGATGACACGGCAATTTATTTGAGACAAGAATAATGATACAATTCAAAGGCAAGATACTATTCCTTTAACTTCCAATTACCGAGGGAACCAATTAATATTGATTTTATTCAACTTATCGAGTATTTTTCAAGGGACCGGGAAAAAAATGTTCACTTTATCGAGAGATTCGTTAGACAAACTTTTACTCGGGTAAAACCCGGGCGAAGCCGGGTACGTCCGCTAGTAATAATATATATGAGTTTTGATAATTGTAAAAAAAAAATGCATCGGCCCGGAATCGAACCCGGGCCGCCCGCGTGGCAGGCGAGCATTCTACCACTGTACCACCGATGCTTATAAGAAATGACCATATTAGGGTATTTATTCCATTCACAAAAGCAAAGGTGACAGAATTGATTGATAACTCTGATAAATATAATGTCAGATTATGTTAGCATAATGAATTAATCAGTATTCCCATGATCTCCAGCAAAGAGGTGTGAATTGACTTTTGAAAATATACATAATTATAAAGATAGAAGCTCCTATAGAAACAAGTAAAATAAGCTGCGTATATAGTGCGTATATATTTTAAAAATGTTTTAATTAAAATACTATTCGTTACAATTATAAATTGGCGCCGTGGATGTCTTTCTTGTGAAACGTCCCGCCCCAAACTGTGTGTGTCTTGAAAATATAAAAATAAAAATGTGAACGGAAAAATATGTCCAGGGTAGCCTAGTGGTCATGGCATCTGCCCGGTAAGCGGAAGGTCGTTATTTTATCCATTCTGACCAAAATCTATCCTGAACTTCACACAGTGAACTTCACACAGACAGAATAAGGCAATTATATAAGTAGATTCCAAATATACATCAAAGATAATTGGGTAAGTCTAAACTTTGGTAGTCACACACACATTGAAAGCTCATCTTACAAAAACGATTAAGAAAAGGCGATTGTGCTTTATTTTATATGAATCACGAGTTACAATAGAGTTATATTGGAGTAGGGTGCTCTCGAAGTTTTAAAAGGGTGGTTTAGATTTTAGGGGTGAGAGGGGGGGGAGTTTAGGCCTAGCTCTAATTATGGGCTCGACAGCTTTTTGACTGAAATGTCCTGTAGGTTACCTGGTATAATATCATATCGCTGTTTACAATATCTGAAAGAGGTAGTAGAAATCGCTATATAATATTTTTTATTGATAGTTTACATGCATGTGATAATTTGTTGCACTTGAGCAGGAGTTGTACTTGAAACGCAGTTTATTGAACTCTCTGAAATGCAGACATGCACTTATGACGCACAGCAAACCATCATTATAATGAGATATTCCTTAAAAGAAGTATTGAACTTGTTCATTTTTATGTTGACGAGATCGCTTATTTCTACACAGTTTTCACCAGAATTAAAATGAACAAGTCCAAAACTCTTTTAGGAGTAGATCCAATAAAGCTTGGACGAGCCTCATATGCAACGCAGATCTGTAGATCTGTATGGAGGGAGATGGAGCGGCCAGTTTCGCCAACTTATGAGGCGTCATAGTTATCACGGTATTTAATTTTCCTTTGGTATTAACAATGGGCAAGGTGCTTGGTAATCTTGGGCGACAAACAATCGTTTCTATGCATCACACTTTTGGTTGAAGCGTTGACTCAGTCTTGTGCTATTCAAATTTGGCAAATGTCGCATTATTGTTGAAGCCTTGATTGGGCCAAGTGTGGTCGAAACATGATCCAGAACCCTATGAAGTAGATAATAATGATCCCCGACCTCATGAAACCTTTACGATACGATGTCTAGCGTTTATGATGCGAGTTTCTGGCCCTTTGCGGTCGAAGAGTGAAATGGTTTACTTTGATGGATGAAGCGTGATCCAGTTGAAGGATGACCGATCTGAACCTTTGATCATCGAAGCGTGATCGTGATGGAACCCTCTAATGGCCGAAGCTCGAGGCATGATATGGGCCCAATGATGGACGAAGAATGCTCTGAGCCTGTGAATTGTCGAAACGTGAAAGGGACCTCTGATGGCAACTCCGTGAATTAGAATTGGAACCTGTTCTGGTTTAAATGTTAACAGAATCATTTGATGAATTAAGTGCTTGCAGTAGAGAGAGAGAGAGAGACAGGGCTAATCCAGTTTACTAATTGAATTGTACTATAATCATTTTAAGTTGAAGCGTGATTTTAACCATGTAATATTCAAAATGTGATCTTGATCATGATCTATCAGAGAAGTGATCTGGATCTTCTGATGCACGAAGAGTAATCTGCGCTCTATGATGAAAAAAATCTCTAAAAGCACTATGATGAAGACTTCTTGAACCGACCTGGTGGAAGCCTGGAATGGTACCTGTTCAGGTCGAAACAGGAACTGATTATAGTCTACACCCCGACA